GTTCTCCTGCTGTTGCTAACCCTGGGGGCCTCCTCATCTGATGTTTATTTCCCTTGACCTAACCTGCACCTTTGTAAATATTCCCTTCATTAGTTAATGTCCTCAATTACCTGGTTTGAGTGTTCCATTTGTTTCTTGCCGAGATTCTGGATGATTCAATCAATACTCAATAAATATTTTTTGAACAGAAGGATGAATGGGATTCACATTTTCTCTTGGTCATCTTGCCCTTCAAGAAGAATAATATAGGGTCTCTTCCAGGGGTCACTCCACTTAAAGGATCCCTTTCCTCCTCCCCCGTGTCAAAGATCAGGAACACTGGGCAGAGCAGATAATGATGCTAGTGGCATCATTACCTTTTCATGGCACTTCTGGTCATGCTGAATGTGCAAACATTTCAAGGAGACATTTCTAAGAGGTGGTTAGCATGGCATGCCTCTAATGATGCCCTAGGCAAACGGAATAAACTACTAAAGAACTATTAAATATTCACACATAGCACACGTGTGCACATGCATGCAAGCATGCATGTATGTGCATATGCATACGTGTCCATGCACGTGTGCATGCACACACACACACATACACATACACATTTGTCCTTTGCTTCACATACAACACAATGGATGGAAATTGCCATCCCAGTATTTGGGGTATGATGCAAACACCAACAGAGAAGCAGCCGCTCTTTCCAAACTGAACACATGTAAGATTTGCCCTTTAATTAGCATCTGCAGCTGCTGCTATCAGAAGGGTCTGTCTCTGTTGGCCTGAAAGCCTTTGCTTTAAAAGAGCAAGTGCATTATAGCTCCAAGCCAGGCTTGTCTGTCAGCTGCTGTGCTTTCTCTGCCATCAGTGGGCTGCCACATTGCATAGGACTATTTCACTCTAGGGCTCTTTTTCCTCCTACTGTCTCCCGAGTCTTTGATTACTATGCCTTGGTCATCACCATTTGGGAGATCTGCCTCTGTTCGTTGTGTGCAGGAGACATCTCTACTTCTTGCAAGGATGGAGGATTGTTGCTTCAGTGCTGGATAGATTGGTTACTTTCCAGCCCTTTGTTGTCAGTGATCTTGTCTTCATGTGCAGAAAGGTTCCAGGTAGTCACTGACAAAATTTAAGCAGCAGAAATGATGGCTATATTAAAGCCAAGTTTCATTCAAGGGCACATCTGCTATAGAAACTTAACTCGGTTGGAGTAGAGAGCCTCATTGGTTCCACAACTTCATCAGCAGTGGGTTCCAGTGCAGTGCTGGGCTGGCTACATCAGAATCACTCCAGTAGCTCCTTAAAAATGCCAATTCCTGGACCCCACCCATGGAACTCGATCCATGAAGTCTGTGGTCAGTCCCTGGAATCCATATTTTTAACAAGCTCCCTAAGTGGTGGGGACAGGAAGTAGACATACTTTACCTTTTTATACCGCATATTATTATTATTTTAAAATTCTTTTTCATTCCCTTAGAATGCCAGCTCCATGAAATCAGGGATTTTTTATCTCTTTTATTCACTGCTGTTTTCCTAATATCTAGAACAGTGCCTGGCACAGAGCAGGCATGCAAATATTTATTTTGGATGTATGTGTCTTATTTTTAAAAAGCACTTTTGCTAGTTACTCTGATGGGCAGGCAGGCTTGGGAAGTCCTGCCCTAGGGGACTTACAGTCTTCTTGTGTTAGAAGCCAAGCTGATCCCAGTTTTAGGGGATCAACACCTCATTGGGCAACTCTGAAGAGTAAAAATCAATGACAGAGTTCCATTTTTGGATAAAACCAGGTGCTGTGAATGAACTCTCTGGTACACACTGGGTGGCAACTTTGTCCTTAATTTGCTCATAGTGTTCTTTGGACCCTGGTCTTTAGTTCACTGCAAGTCATTTGGTATGAAGACTTGAAGACTCTTAGTTTGTCACTTTTGATGATGCTTTTGGAACCTTTCGATTTGGTGCCATTTTTAACAATACAAAAGTGTTTTCTGAAAACATCCAGGTCCTGGTTCTTTATTATATCTTTAACCTCAACAGCATGGTGATTGACTAAGCCTGAGTTGGCCACACACAAGTCATCTTCTCCGTGGGTTTTATTTATACCAGAATATGCCCCAGTAGTATAGTTTTGGGATATGGGTAACATGTTGGGATAACTAAATTTACTTAGTAAATGTCTGAACTAATGGTGAACAGTTGGGATTTTTAATATGGTAACCTGGAATTGTGTTGGTGGGTCAAGTTTGATTATTTCTTTGATGAGGATCCAGTCTATTTAGAGGTTTGTTATTTAGTATGTCTATTTTGGCCCCATGTTGTGGAGCATGCTGCTTAACAGCTGGTGTAATTTTTGTTGCTTGTTTTCTCAATCAACCCTGGTTTTGAAGAAATGGAAAGTTCAACTCTTAGAAAAGACTGATCTAGTTTGGGCGGGGATTTTCATTGCAGGAAATTGCATCTTCTGAATAGAAGCAAAGAATACATGTCTTTTTGCCTTTTTAGGAGATGGTTTTTATTTTCTGAACTAATTTACTGGTCATTACAAATAGAATCTTTGGAAAGAGCTGCTAAATACAAAGTAGGGTTCAATTTGTGAATTCTTAAAAGTTGCTGGTGGCTGCTATGCATTTGTTTTTTTTTTTTTTAAAGATGACGGGTAAAGGGATCTCAACCCTTGGCTTGGTGTTGTCTGCACCATGCTCAGCCAGTGAGCAAACCAGCCATCCCTATATAGGATCCAAACCCGTGGCCTTGGTGTTATCAGCACCGCACTCTACCGAGTGAGCCACGGGCCGGCCTGCTGCTATGCATTTGACCTTCTCAGCCTTAAACTTAAAAGTTGTACTGTTTTTTTTCACATCTTTATAGAGCCATAGGAAATTTATAACTGTTCCGTGTTGTCATAAATATGCATTGTTCTTATTTTAAGACATTTCAGTTCTAAAAGTATGAGTACTTTGGTTACTATCTTTGAATTTTTTTTTCTTTTTTTCTTTTTTTTTTTATGTTTAAGACCTTTTTAATGGCAATATATAGTTAAAACAGACATACAAATTAGCATTCACCCACATACTCAGGGCCTGTAGAGGACCAGGTAGGGACAAGTGGGTGAGCTGTAGGCAGCCAGGTGGCTCCTCCTGTGGGCTCCTTGAAGAATGGGACAAGTAGCTAATGTCTGCTGTGAACTTGGGGGAAATAAGTATGCATGTTAGGGGCTGCCCTTTCTAAGTGTTGCTCTTCTTGTTAGTTCATAAGTCAATTTTTTTCTGGCAATTGCTGTGTAGATGGAATCTTATTCTTCTAATGCAATTGCCCAGTATGTGGTTGAGTGTCTGTTGTGTGTAAGAAGCTGTGCGAATGGAGTAGACTCCCAGGTTATAAAGAGCCCTTGGGGAGGACATGCAAGTCACCGGCTTCTTCAGGGGTCTCTGGTTTGGGTGGAGTTGGTGCTGGTTAAACTTCCTGGAGTCTTTACTGGACCAGCGTGGGGCCCTTAGGGATATGTGCAGATGCTCCACTTCTGACTTGTCTAGAGCTTTCTTCTAATTCTGGACTAAAAGCAAACAGGAGTTTGGAGGATGATGGTGAGAACTCACATCCCAAAGTTGGCTTCTGGCATGCAGTAGTTTGAGAGATTTAGTGTTTTTTTAAGAAGTATATTCGGATCTTGCCTTTTTCCAGAAAGGATTTGATAACTTAAAACAAAAGACATTTATAGCATGGCTAAAAAAACAGGAAATCAGGAGAACTCAGTAAGGTTAGCATGATTGTAGCGATGGGTCAAAATGGGTTTCAGCTTCCTGCCAGCCAGAGCAGAAAGGATCATGCAGCGCAGTAGACTGAGAGGAAGGACAGGAATTGAATGGTAGCTGAGTGCCAGGCAACCTCACGTTGGTGCCAGGATCTCTGAGGACCTTGTTTTACTTAATCCTCACATGGTGCTGCAACAGGATTCGATTTATCCCTATTTTACAGAGGATGAAACTGAAGGGCAGAGAGGTGAAGTCACCAGCTGGAGTCTGAAGCCACCTAGGCTAATTGGGCTCAAGGCCGGTGTTGACTCAGGATTATCACACCTGGTTTATCATCAAAAGGAGGAAGGATTTCAGTTCCTTGGGTTAGAAATTTGTTTTTGCTAACTAAATAGTTCACCTGAGGCTTTATATTCTTTCTTCTAGATTTTTTCCCTATGTATGTACCAACACATGTAATAATTCATTTTTTTCTCACAAAAAAGGTGTTGTACTTTGTCCTATAAGGCTGTCACTTTATATTATTATGGACAGCTTTACAAAAAGTGGCAGTATGAATAGGTGAAATCCATTTGTTTTTAATATCTGCATCATAGCCCATTGTTTAGATATATCATATGTTAGCCAGTCTCTTGTTGATAGATATTTGGATGGTTTCCAGGGCTTTAACCCCCCGTTACAAGCAGTGCTGCAGTGAATGTATTTATCTATCTATTGTAAGTACCTGTAAAATAAATTGTTGGAAGTGGAATTACTAGGTCAAAGGGTATATATTCACATTTAAATTTTTATAGAGACTGTCAATTGCTTTCTACACTGTAAGAGGAAAAGATTGTATCACGTTTATTGCATGCCTCCTATATTCTGCTGGGTGCTGAGGGGAATGCAGAAAGGATGCAAAAGAGTTTGTTGCCCTCCAGGAATATCCATCTACGCTGTGTACCTAATCCTAGGGAATTTCTGGAGTGTCGACTTGGGTGGGTGGGGGAGTGGGTGAATTTAATTCAACTTTTCAAGCTTCTCTTGCAAACATTGTTCATGGTGTCTGGGACTAGTCTTTCATTACATTGATTCACTTCGGTAGTGGATATAATTTCCTTAGGGCAGGGAATTCATCCTATGTGGCTTACAATATGTCTCACACATCTTCGTTGCTTTGTGGAGACATTGTAATTATCACACGTGAGGCAGTATTTGAAGGTCTAACTGAGGTGTTCTCTCTTTTGGTGTGTGAATAATTAATATCTTTGGTGTTCTATACAGGTCATGGAATATCAGCCTGGAGGAGACTTGCTGTCACTTTTGAATAGATATGAAGACCAATTAGATGAAAATATGATTCAATTTTACCTAGCTGAACTGATTTTGGCTGTTCACAGTGTTCATCAGATGGGATATGTACATCGGTAGGTGAGACTCTGGTACCATGCCAAGAATTTTCCTCTATCACATAAGAATTCCTACACTGAAATGAGTGGATAAATGATTTCAGGATCAAAATAATGCTCCACACAATTTTTAGCCTGTGACCAGCTGTAAGTAAACTTTCCAAAATGACATTTCAGCCCATTCAACAGTGCAATAGATCTAGAATTGCATTATTCTCAATTTTGCTTGTAATTCCCGTTAATGTAGCTTAATATGACAAGACCAAGAATTCTTGCATGGGTTCTTTGGGTTATATGGTAGAAAAACTGAATTTTATTTGCAGAAGGAAATGGCATACCATGTAGGAATGGAAATCCTTGGAGTTGTACCTCTAACTGCACATTAGTAATTTTACAAAGGAGTTCCACAAAATCCTTAGTTGATAAGTGTTTCTTCATGTCCTCATTTGTCTGATGTTTTATATACATCTAAGAATGTTGTGGGAATGCAATGATGGCTAGACTAGGAGTCACAAAATCTGGAATAAAGTCTCAGTTTTTCCGTTGGCTAGCTGCATGACTTTGGGCAAGTTCCCTAGCTTCTTTGACCTTAGTTTTTGTAATGTAACATGTGTGTCTCTATGAAAAACAGTCCATCTAATAACATATATTTTTTTCCTTTCCTTTTTCTTTCTCTTCTCTCCCTCTCTCCCTTCTTTGCTTCCTTCTTCTTTTGTTTTGCAAAATGCATTACTAATGATTTATATCCATCAGTAAAGGAGGTCTGCATAGCAGAATATAAAAACTAAGATTGCTGGCCAGATTGAGATCCTAGGTTAGCAATTGCTTGGTGATTGGCATGGAGAAGACAATACTAATTCTTGGTTCTGATTTTCTTACAGAGACATCAAACCTGAGAACATTCTCATTGACCGAATAGGACACATCAAGCTGGTGGATTTTGGATCAGCTGCTAAAATGAATTCAAATAAGATGGTAACAAATGGAATTAGGTAGCTTAATAGAGGTTATACTAAAAAAGGGTGATTTTTCATCAAAATAATACCCAGCAAAATTTTTTTAGGAACATTCTTATAGTTTGGTTAAAAAGAAAGGAAAATACTTATTTTGTTTCTGCCTTCACTTTCCTTGCCTGTTATAGACTGCCTTCTGTTATATTATCTTTTTTACTTTAAAATATTTTGATAAAATATAACTCTTTTAAATCTCAAGTCCTCTATTTCCTATGCAGCAAAATTGAAATTAATCCTTGGAGCATTTGAATCAAATATCCTTTAGTGTTGAGAACTAAGTGCTCAGAATGTCATTTTTAAGTCTTGGACCTCTGGTAAAAGTTAAACTGTATTCTACATGCTAATTAGGAAGGCAGGAGGGTAGCTATTGAGATCAAAAGTATGAATACTTTAGGAAAAAGATGACAGAAAAAGAAGATTAGAGTTAAAAAATCTTCTAATAAAGTTGGTATGTACTAAAATGTGAATTTTGAAGTCAACAATGGGAAAAAGGATGGGTCTAAGAGAAAATCGACTTAGGTTTTAAAATTTTCCCAACTGAGCCATTTGCTGACCTAGACAAATCCTTAGGAGCTTGGTTGGCCTTTTATTCTTTCTCTTGAATATACTAGTTTTAGTTAAATTGAGCAAATTAAGAAGTTAGGGAAGCTGTTCTTCATAATGCCCCCCAGGTCTGAGAGTAAAGTCCTTTATATAAAGGACAATATGTAAAGTTGCCTTTTCCCCTCAAATTCCTTGGAGGAAAGGTGTTATATTAATATTACCTATTATTAATAACCTATTATTAGGTTGATGTTAGGAAAAGGCTTGGAGTTGCGTTAACTCTTTGCACTCCAGCCTCTGGCCTACCTACTTGAGATAATTTAATTGGTTTTCAGGTCCTTGGAAGAACAGGCTCCCTATCCTGTCCAAAGTCAGGGTTTCTCAACCTAAGCACTATTATTTTCTTCAGGTTATGTTTTTATAACCTATTCACTTCATGATTATGTTAAGAATTAGATTATAGAATCAAAGCATTTTATGTTATAAAAATTATATACAAATCAGAAATAGGTATGAAAACTTAGGTACTGAATTTAGTGGAATGAATAGAGCACGGAAAAAAGTTAAATAATGCGGAGTTTTATTACCTAGGATTCAAAAATTTATACATTGCATTAGCGACATTAATAAACTCATGCATTAAAAATAAATTGAAGCATAGGTACCTAGTCCGACAATATAACCTCAGCACTTTTGACATATTTGCTTTGGATAACTCTTTGTTGTGGGGGCTGTCCTGTGTACTGTAGGATGTTTAGCCGCATCCCTGGCCTATACCCACTAGATGCCAGTAGCTCCCTCCCCCCAATTTGTGACAGCCAAAAATGTCTCCAGACATTGCTCAATGTCCCCAGGATGGGAGTGGGGTAGAATTACCCTTGTTGAGAATGCCTGCAATAGACTGAGACATATCAGAAAGCTGAGTAATTAGAGCCAGCAATATGTGTTTGCAATAAGAAAATCTCCTCAGAACACTAGATTAAGATCCAAAGTCACTGCTTGGAAAATAAATGGGAATTAAAGGTAAGGCTCTATCTCTATGTCTAGAGTCAGTCTTTTCAGGGCCGTTGATGGAGAGACAGGGCTCCTATTGATTTCAGCTTTCTATTTTTCAGTGCTTCAAAATGCCTCTTTCAGTTCCTCTAATTGTAGTATTCTTCACTCCAGGTGGGGAGCCTCCTGGAGGCACTCAGGTTATTTTATTTTATTATTTTTAATTGACACATAATAACTACATATTTATGAGGTACAATGTGATATTTGGATACATATATAATGTGTAATAATTAAATCAGGGTAATTAGCATATTTATCACCTTAAACATTTGTCATTTCTTTGTGTTGGGAACATTCAAAATCCTCTCCTCTAGCTATTTGAAATTATGCAATAAATTGTTATTATCTGCAGTTCCCCTACCGTGCTATTGAACACTAGAATTACTCCTCCTCTCCAGCCATAATTTTGCATCTGTCAACCAACTTCTCCCTATCCTTCCTCCCCCATCCCTTTCCCAGCTTCTGGTAACACTGTTCTACTGTCTACTCCTATGAGATCAACTTTTTTAGCTTCTACATATGCGTGAAAGCACGTGGTATTTAACTTTCTGTGCATGGCTTATCTCACTTAACATAATGTACTCCAGGCTTATCCATGTTGCCGCGAATGATAGGGTTTCATTTTTTTTTATGGCTGCATCAGTATTTCATTGTGTATATATAGCACATTTTCTTTGTCCAATCATCAGTTGATGAACACTTAGGTTGATTCCATATCTTGTTCAAAATGGATTAAAGACTTAAATGTAAGAACTGAAGATAATGAAACTAATAGAAGAAAACGTAAGAGAAATACTTCAGGACATTGGTCTGGGCAAAGGTTTTATAAATAAGACTTCAAAAGCATAGTCAACAAAAGCAAAAATAGACAAATGGGATTATATCAAACTAAAAAGCTTCTGTCCAGCAAAGGAAGCAATCATTAGAATGAAGAGAAAACCTGGAGAAAACCCCTGATAACTTTGGTCAAGGAGATACGGTACTATGTACAACCACTTGAGAATATCAAACCTCCTTTCCCCTTGTGCTTTTAGGACTAGAATGTGACAAGCAGATAGGGAATTTTTAGCATTAGGTACAAAGGCCCTTTTATTATAGGAGAGCAATGATCTGCAATCTAGATCAAATCAAATGTGGATATAGAATTACAAGTTTTTGGGTCGACCCCGTGGCTCACTCGGGAGAATGCGGCGCTGGGAACGCAGCAGCGCTCCTGCTGTGGGTTCGGATCCTATGTAGGGATGGCCGGTGTGCTCACTGGCTGAGCGCGGTACGGACGATGCCAAGCCAAGGGTTACGATCCCCTTACCGGTCCCATAAAAAAAAAAAAAAGAATTACAAATTTTTTTCTGATATTTTTGATCAGTGGTGGTGGGTTAAAATGTGTGCTTTCTCTAAGTAGAATGTTTTAGAGTGCTAAAGTAGGTTCTAGATGTTTTCTGTACTCAAAATATACAATTTAAAATGTAATCCACATTTATTGAAATTACTTTGTGTTACTTACCCCAAATCAGTCAATCCTTTTCCCTACCACTCCCCAAATATTATCTATGTATTTTGGATATTTGTGAATCTTAGATCTGTTGAGTTTTCCATCCTTCATAGTCTCTATTTCAAGCTTCTTATTCAGAATGTTGCTTTAGAGTATTTTCTGTTAGTGTAACACAGGGGCCTAGTGACCACAGGACCTGCTGTATGACGTAGGTCACTCATTTCACCTTATTAGAATCTCAAAGAATGGCAAATAGCTAACAGTTCCAACCTATCTCATTCAGCTCTCATGTTGTAAACAGTTGTAAGGAGATTGTAAATAAAACATTATAGCATGTTAAGTGATAATCAGCCCCATTTAGCAGTTGGAAACTCACAGGAGAGCCTTTTTTGGATTTACGTAGGAGTGAAAAGATTTGATTTCTTTTCCACAAGAGGAACAGCATAGTGAGAATTCCTTTTCCCCCTGCTTCTGCAAGTATATGTTTATGCCTCGGGCAGCTAGATGGGGAAAATTAGGATTAAATAGTTTTACATTTAAGCATTTTATGGAAAGCGGTTGAGAGAAGGAAGACAGTGGTTTTCTTATTTTCTTCTTCATCTTTTTATTTGTAAAAGAATCTGCTAAATTAACCCTTTTCTCCCTTCCTCCCTCCCTCCCTTCTTTTCTTCCTTCCTTCCTTTTCTTTTCCCTTCTATCTCCCAAAATGTGACAGTCATCTGTCCTCCAGTCATTCTCTTACTGTCTCCTGCTGAACAGGTTTATTTTCTTCCCTTTCAATACAGTGAAAATAAACTAAAGTTTAGTAATACTGGGGCCCTGTCAGACAGTGCTCTGAAGGCAGGCTGGGCTCCTACTACGTATTCACTTTTAGTATCTCACCCAGGTTAGCTGGCTAAATTACCACCCAGGGCAATTTAGAAGTGAGAGCATGTTGTAATATCCTTATCAGGATATGTGAGATTGTGTGCTGAGAAGGTTTAATGTGCTTGGAGGTCAGGGATGAATGTAAATTTAGTCATTAATCGTCATTTAAAACCTTTGTTAATTACTACTAAGCACTATAGTAGGAGATGTACAAAGAGAAAGCCAATGGTTGTTTTTCTTTTCAGAGCTTTCTAGTACAAATTAATAATAAAACTTAGAAAATTATAAAATGATTGGACGTAAATGTATATAATCACATATTTGTTAAGGGGCAAGAATTAGTTGGGATGTTAGACTCTCTTTGATAAGTCTAATTATTAGTTTAAAAATGAGACATTGACAATTTGTACTTTTTCACTGGGTCACCCCGGTAAACATGACCCAATCAAGTTCCTTTCAACTCCTTGGTTGTGAATAAGTGACTGTGCCCTGTGAACTGCAAATAAGGAAAACTGAATATTCCTGAAAAGTCTATTTGACAATAAAGTAAAATCTAACAAGTGCAAATGGTGCATATTTGATAATTGTGCAGTTATGGTCCTAAAAGGTAATTAGGCACAAAGGATAAGTAAAACTTTAATCAGTGATACAGTAGCATCATCATTACGCAGTCAAACCAAGATGTTACAGTTTTTCTTCTCTTGTTTTGTTATCAAAAGAATATCTATTGCTCATTGTCAATATTGTGGTTTTTACCAATCCAGTGTTGAGCTCATTAACATTTACATACACATTAAAAGACAGAAATCTTGGCCCAGACTTGCCAGCATGAAGGCTTCCCCTTGAATTAAGCTACTTTCAGTTCCTCAAGCTTAAATCCCCTTGTGGTTTTTTCTTAGACCAAGTATTTTCCGCTCTGTCCCCACTTTTGTCCATCAGCACAGGCCTGACTGTGGGTTTCTTGGGTGGTGTGACCATCTAGCTTTCCCAAGGGGGTACTTGCAGTGGAAAACCTATTGCCCAATGGGTGATCTGTCCGGAATAACAGTATCACACTGCTTTCTGGGATTAGGGTTTGGAAAAATCTCTACCAGAGTGTGGGCCTGAGGGAAGGGATGAAAAGAAACAAAATGGTAGAATGGGTCTATTTCCTTTAATGAGAGGGTTTTGGGACAGAGGAGTGGACAAGATTAAAGCTACAGGCTGGAATAGCTTCATCCAGCTTCATCTCTGGGGAAAGGAATGTCTTCTCTAAACATTAACTTTCCTTTCAACCCCCAATTAAATCAAAGCAAAGCAAGTTCACTTTTTTATGTAAAGCCCAGCCTTAAAGGTATGTGGTCATACCCGCAAAATCTCTTGGCTAACTTGGGGATACTCAACATTCTTTAATGGGGAGAAAATTCTTTTTCACCATATAGCTACTGACCTGAGAGAAACCCATTTACAATATACAGTTATGGGACAACTGGTCAACACAGTGTATGACTAAAGTCAGGTCCTCTCTGTTTTGACGGGGAGAAAGGTTAAAGAGGTGATCCTTAGACTTGTAATTTCATGGCTCAAGAAAACATCAAAGTAATTTTGAAAACCAGAGGGGTTGCCAGCTTACTAGGTTGCCTAGTAAAGGGTGGGAGTGAAGGGGGTAGAAAATCTATTTCTTTCATCAGCATCATTTCAAGAAACAAAGGACATTTAAGCACTAAAGCAGTCAAAAGGACAAATTCTGAGAAAAAAGGGACAGTCCTTTAAATGGAATAAAAGGACCTTTATAAAAAGACCTCCCGTATTTGTCCTTTGCCAAGGTCAGGCTTGGGTGCCACTGGATTGGAGGGTTCTGGGTTTCTGAACAGTGGGGAGGGATCACAGGAACAAGAGTTGGGGATGGGGAAAAAGAACCCATTAACATTTGGCTCTGGGTGGAAATTATTTCTCATGTCTTGCCCTGTGGGTGGGCCGAAATAGGAAGGTTGATTCCTAAAGCAGTGAGATAAGGCATATGTTTGTGATATTGTATGGCTGGCTAGTTGCCAGTTTTTCAGTAATGGTTAGATTGATCTTAAAGATTCATCTTTAGGATTTATTATCATTTTGTTGTTTTCACAAGTAAGAGAACTTCTATCATATCAATAACTTATTATTAGGAAAGACATCTTCCATTCCAGGTATATACCCAACCCTCATTTGTGTAACCAAAGGGTGTATATCATCAACAACTCTTGCCCTTTTGCCTTTGAATTGTGTTATGTGCTTTTTCAAAAAAAAAAATAAAAATAAAAAATTAGTAGAGCATTTGCATTTCCTGACAGTGTGCCACTTGACAGAAGGTTTAAGTACCTGTGAGAATCAGAATCAGTGGCAAATCAGCTTGTGTCTGAAATGTGGCTGTTGGCAGTCTACTTGAGGATAATTGAAAGTTTTCTGTATTCATTTTATTTATGGGTTACTAGGTAAATGCCAAACTCCCAGTTGGGACCCCAGATTACATGGCTCCTGAAGTGTTGACTGTGATGAATGGGGACGGAAAAGGCATCTACAGCCTGGACTGTGACTGGTGGTCAGTGGGAATTATTGCTTATGAGATGATTTATGGGAGATCCCCATTCACAGAGGGAACCTCAGCCCGAACCTTCAATAACATCATGAATTTTCAGGTAAGAAGCCATTGGTAGATTTTGAAGTCATATTGAGAAATGTCATTTAAAAATTGTGTGGATAGGGGCCGGCCCGGTGGCGCACTGGATAGTGCGCCGCTTGGGAAGCGCGGCGGCGCTCCTGCCCGAGGGTTCGGATCCCACGTACAGACCGGTTCCCGCTCACTGGCTGAGCGAGGCGCGGGAGCAGCGCCGAGGTTTGCAATCCCGTTGCCGGTCCCCGGTCCGGTACGGGGGCAACACTGAGGGTTGCGATCCGTTGCCGGACACGGAAAAAAGACAAAAGACAAAAGACAAAAAAAAAAAAAAAAAAAATTGTGTGGATAATGTTTATATGTAAATCAGCAGTACTGGAAAATAATGATAAAAGCAAATACTTATATATAGTTCTTATTTTGTGCCAAAAGCTATTCTAAACTTTATTAATTATATTTCATTAAATCTCAACTGCCAGTAATTGTAAGATTATGCCATTATTTTATGTATCACTGAGAAAAACTGCTGCCAATTAATCTGTATTTTTATTGATTATGCAATGTATCTTGATTTCAGTGTTGTTAAATGTGAATAAATGTGAGTCTTAGAATTGATGAAAGATAGTTTACTAACTTAGTTAATCTTCAAACAACCCTGTGAGGTAGGTATTATTATTATTATTATTGTTATTTTCATTTACAGATAAGGAAACCAAAGCACAGAGAGGTTAAGTAACTTGCCCAAAATAACACAGTCTGGCTCTGAAGTCCATGCTCTTGATTTTATGCTATACTGCTTTTTAGTACTAACTATTGAATGTGGTAGTAAAATTGAATGAGGAAATGAATTAGAACTATAGTAATATATACATAAAGTAAAATTAAAATTATTTTCTAACGATGGTACTTTCCACAATATTAAGCCCATTTCTTTTTTTTTTTTCCTTTTTTTGTCTTTTTTACTGACCGGTAATGGGATCGCAACCCTTGGTGTCGCGCCCGTACTGGGGACCGGCAACGGGATTGCAACCCTCGGTGTTGCGCCCACACCACGCTCAACCAGTGAGCGGGAACCGGTCTCCACATGGGATCCGAACCCTCGGCGGGAGCGCCTCCGCGCTCCCAAGCGGCGCACTCTTCAGTGCGCCACCAGGCCGGCCCGAGCCCATTTCTTAATATAGAATAAATACATGTTTTTTAGTTTTAACCAAAAGGAAAAAGATAACTTATTTCCTAAGTTTTAGTATCTCACCCAATTTTTGTCTTTCTGGAATGCTTAATACATTTTTATTTTTTTAAAGATGACCGGTAAGGGGATCTTAACCCTTGACTTGATGTTGTCAGCAGCATGCTCTCCCAAGGGAGCCACAGGCCGGCCCTTTAATACATATTTTTTATGTGCATACATTATTTGTCATTCTTGAGTCTCCTTTTAAAGTTTCCCCTTAGATAACTCTTGGGGCTAATTTATTTCTTTCATTTCAATTCACTCATTGAGTCATTCAATCATGAGTGAGTTGCAGCAGGTACTGTTAAGTACCAGGTTTACAGTGATGGACAGAAAGAGAAGGCCTTCTCTGCCTTTGTTCTCCATCAGCACACAGAAATCACAGTCCATTTTGTATGTGCAAAAGCAGAGAAAACAAGGAGCAGGCAGAAGGGAGAGATGGAGTGGGAAAAGTAGCCAGAGAGGGTGAGGTGGGAGGGGAGCGTGTTCTGGTCAGAGAGAACAGTGTGACTTGTTCAGGAAGCTTTAAATAGCTCATCATTGTTGGACAGCAAAGAGAGCCCTTGGGAGCATAGCAAGATTAGACGGGCAAGAGGAGCAGGGGTCAAACCATGAAGGATATTGAACCCCTACAAAAGAAATAAGCCTATTGATGCGAGCAGGCCACTTATTTTGGGAACATGCCTTTGGTCCAAAGTTAAGAGGCCATGAAACTTCTTTCTTTAAAAAAAAAAAGAAACCTGTGTATATGAGAAATACTTTCTTAACTTTGGGACATGAGAAACTGAATCACTGCTAAGGAAATTATTATTTTATTTTTTGGAACAGCGGTTTTTGAAGTTTCCAGATGACCCCAAAGTTAGCAGTGAATTTCTTGATCTGATTCAAAGTTTGTTGTGTGGCCAGAAAGAGAGACTGAAGTTTGAAGGTCTTTGCTGCCACCCTTTCTTCTCTAAAATCGACTGGAATAACATTCGTAACAGTGAGTAGAGCTGTGTTCCTTAAACTGGAGTGTGGAGATTAAGAAACACTTAAGAGTGATCTGAAATTATTCTGGCCCCCAAAAGCTGGCATAAATTACATAAATAAAAGCTTTAATTATCTATGGGAGTAGAAAAGGCTAATGATATAGCTGTCTTGGAGTAATAATTCTGCTTTAAAATTGTTTGCATAGAACTGGGTCATTTATCAAACTGTGTTTATGTGGCCTTTAGAATATTATCCCTTGGTAAATTAGAGGCACCGACTGATGGAGTTCAAAGGTTGTCACTTGGTTTGACAGAGTTTCTTCCCAGAGGAAAAGTGGACTTAGGTATTTCTTTCACAGATTAGGAAAAAGACTGAGATTAGGCAACCTGCCCAGGTTGCTCTGCTAATGGCTGAGCCTGTACTAAAACCATAAACACCTTGCTGTGTTCATTTGTTTCTCTCTACAATATTTGTCTTTGCTCACAAGCATGTAAAATCTATAATGTATACGCACAGTGGATTCATTCATACACCACTTTGTAATCAATTAGTGTAGACTGAATTAATTCATTACAAACAAAGATGACTTATTATCAACAAAACTAAAATGCTTGGTTTTTTACAAATTGGTGATTTTCTAAAAACCTTTTTTATTCTTGGATGTGTTGTTGATTGAATGTGATGGAATGACCTGACCCAGTGATCAGCAGAAATTAGAGCCGGTAGGAAAGAATTTGGCCCATTTGAGTGTGTCATTTTTGTTGGTGGGGGTAGGTTGGGAAATGGAACCCGTTTATAGGTGTCAAAACCAGATTTCTAACTGGGGCTGTATTGTAATTATAACTTCTTGCACCTTCAGCTGGGACACAAGTGTGGTTAAGATTCAGTATTGTCCAGTTGAAAGCCATTTTGATGGTTTGTCTAACCTGCTGAAATATTTAAGTGGGCTGTATTACCATAAATCCTTCTTGGCAAACTTTTTTCTTCTGGTAGTCATACTGTTTTATTTTTCTAATCTTTAGACATCACCCCTCAAATCTCCAAGGTTCAGACCTTTTAATCAGTGACATATTTTTAGTGCATTCCTTTTATGCTTTTAGAATGATTTGATAGAATTTCTTTTAGATGCTATTCAGGTACTGTGAAATTTTATATCTATCTATCTATCTATCTATCTATCTATCTATCTATCTATCTATCTATCTATCTATCTATCTATCTAAAGGTTTTCATCCACAGTTGCTGGCTCATAACTCCCATAGCCCTTGGTCTTTTGTTATAATATTGGGGCATGTTAGTCCTCAGAACCTGGCCTCAGAAAACAGAACCTCTCTCTCTGATCTCCTGCCCTCCTTTTACCTGCTTCTTTTTCTCCCCAAGGCAGGCCATAGCTGTAAAGAAATTCTCTGACCTACCTTATCTGATTGTAGGTCATAAGACCCCCATTTCAGAAGGGGTCCTGCCCCATCCTGGGAAGATGG